ACGTTTTATTCAGTCCAGAAAAATGAAGAATCCGTTTTAATTGATGAATATATCGCAGCATCTGTTCGTCTACAATCCGTTACGCTTCATGACCTAAAGCGAAGATAAAAATAAAATTTAAAAAAAGCTTATAAAATAATTATTTTAGTGTAGATTTATGGCTGCCACAGCTAAGGCAGATTCAGATCTACATTACATTAGGGTTTGAATGACTACATAATTTTTAAACTCGACATTAACATAAAACTCGAGTAGAACTCGAGTAGTTTATGACGACATAGGATCTCAAGATGCAAAAATAAATAAATTAATTAAAACCGAAAAAAAAACACGTAATTATTTACAAAAAAAGACCAACAAAACATTGGGAGCATATATTATGCTCCTACCATTTATCATACTGCAAATAAGTCACAGGAAAAACTAAACTATTAGTTTTTATTATTAAACTGCAAAAGTGAAAGAAACGTGTGGCACGTCAAAAACGAAGCTAAAAGCAGTGGGGTGGACGACCACCCTGCACCACCGCCCGCAGTGGTGCACATTAGGTTTAGTTTTAGAGATTAATATGTTTATAGTTTTTTTTTATATAGGTTTAGAAATGAATATTTTTTTGCTTTTTGTTTGTGAAACAAGGTCAGAAGGAAGCTGGTTCTGGTTCGGTCATTGGACCCATTTGATGATTACTTCTTAAAAGTGTGAAATATGCTTTGAATATATCCTTCTGAGAGTCAACCAGTCACATTTTGCAGTTCTGCTTCATTTTAAGGTTTAAATTTCTTTGTTATTCTCATCACGTGGTACATGAGGTGGAACAAAATTATGTACTCAAGGTCCCAGTTATATCCAAAAATAGCAAAAATATAAAGTATAAAAAGAAACTATATAAGGATCTAGGATGGACTTTAAGATATACGCTAAACGAATGCCAAACAATACATTAAAAGATCTAAAATATACGCTAAACACTAATAATGTAAAATAATATCTTATATAAAACAGCAGCCTGAACATGAGTCTGTAGTGAGCAGATGGGTATGAATGAATACAGCAGCATGAGATCAGCAGCATGGATAAGTCACATATCACCAATTAAAGTGGCATTAGAGTTTGTTTTTTTTTGGTGATTTTCCTGATCAAGGAGTTATGAGTAACAGCTTCAGGGTAGAAGCTGTTTCTCAGTCTAGTAGTACTACAGTTAATGCCCCACAACATTCTGCCTGAGGGGAGCAGCAGATACACCTTACAAATACTTCATACAGGTAACTTTGAGGCTTCACTTTGTAAAAACTAGCTTGTATTAGCCGCTAAGCTATGGTGCATTCAGTGACCGGTAAATAATAGTTTGTTTGGTTTTTATCTAAATTGGTTGCTCAAGCAGAAAACCAGCTCCATCTGTTCAGCAGCCACTCAATTGGTAAATTTCTACGTATTTCTCCAGTTTTTACCTCAGTTCCCACACAAACAGAAGTATCGTTGAACAATCTGTTAGACAGTGGATTTTTTCCCACAAAGTGGTACACAGCTCTACTCTACAATACCGCTCCAAATGATGGACTTGTGAAGGTTGGAGTGAAAGGAAAACCTTTTTTATTTATTGCAGGACGAGCCCACCACTGGGATGGACCCCAAAGCACGGCGCTTCTTGTGGGACTGCATCTTGAGTGTCATCAAAGAGGGACGCTCCGTCATCCTCACATCACACAGGTGCAGCATCACTCACCCATCCCTCTCTGATGGCTAGGCTAAATATTTGGACTCCTCACCAGGGAGAAACCCAGAAAGCGAAGTGTTTGCAACTAAATGGGAGCCATATAAATTGTAATTATAATTGATTGGAGTTGCACTTTGAAAGGTTTTTCTTTCCAGAGTGGCAGTTATTATCGGCTGCCAGAAACACACCGGCTGCTATAATGCTTTCATGAAGCACGAGGGCATATCGACTGACTGGTGCTGCTGGGGTTTTTTTGTTTTTTGTTTTGGTTTTATCTTCTTTGAAAAGAGAACCTATCAATATCCGTGCTGAAGTCTTTTCATTATCCAAAGCTTCCAGAAATAAACTAAAGTTTCCCAAGTTTTATTTTTCTTTTAATTGTGTTGGGCACAAATCTTCAATTCAATTCAGTTTATTTATATAGCTCCAAGTCACAGCAGAAGTAATCTCAGAATAGAAACATGCATGTACATAAATAATAAGTTAACACTATTTATCTAAGGAGCAGACTGCTTTGAGTTTAACTCCATCACAGACTCTCATCTTGAGCAAACATGAAGGCAACAGTGGAAAGGAAAAACTCCCTCATGAGAAAGAAACCTTTAGCAGAACCAGACTCGGGACAAGCGGCCATCTGCTTCAACCGGCTCCGTTTGAGATGAACAGATACACAATGGCAGGTCAAGAATCACATGTTAAGATAGAAAAAGTATCAAATTAAAATTATTCAATTTTAACAATTCATTTTAAGAAATTAGGTCAATTAGGTTGTCCTCCAGTAGTCTGAGCTTAAGACATCATGACAAACCAACCCTAACTATAGGATTTATTAAAAAGGAAAGTTTTAAGTCCAGTCTTAAAACTGGACAATGTGTCAGTCTCACAGACAGAAACTGGAAGTTGGTTCCACAAGTGAAGAGCCTGATAACTGAAAGATCTTCCTCCCATTCTGCTTTTGGAAACTCTAGGAACCACAAGTAAGCCTGCAGTCTGACAGCGAAGTGCTCTGTTAGGAAACTATGCAACAATAAGAGCTTTAATATAAGACGGATCTAGGTTGTTGAGGGCTTCATAGGTTAGAAGTAAGATTTTGAATAAAATTCTGGATTTGACAGGGAGCCAATGGAGAGAAGCTAAAACTGGAGAGATATGATCTCTCCTACTAACTCCGGTTAAGACTCTGGCAGCAGCATAAAGAAGTATTTGAACACCCAGATAACAAACCATTGCAATAGTCCAGTCTAGACATGACAAATGCATGAACCAGTTTTTCTGCATCATTTTTAAATAAGATGTTTCTAATTTTAGCGATATTACGCAGGTGGAAGAAGGCAGTTCTAGTAACGTTTTTAATGTGAATTTTCCACAAAAAAATTTTTGTCTAGCATTATGCTTTAAATGGAAAATCCAACTGTTTTTTTAATCAATCATCCAATTGAACATTATTCAAACAGGGATTTGTTTCCCCAGCGGTGTCGTGAAAAATCAGCTCAGTTTGGAGTATAATCTCCTCATTACGTGCGCTTCTTTCACAGAGAAATAAAAGTGTTTGTTGTTGTCGCGGCCAATGTGGCAGAGCTGCATCCAATTGTCCATGTCACAACCAGGTGGTTATGTTTTGTTAAGTGGCAAATGTATCCGGTTTTACAAAGTCATAATCCTAATTGCGCCATCGCTCAGAGATGCATCACATGCTTCGCCTCAGCTGCAATTGGCTCGAGCTTCAGCCCAACGCTGAAAGAGAAAAAAGAACGAGATAATAGAAGTACAGATGGCCCCTGCTTCCACCTCTAATTACCAAATTTGTTCTCAGTTTGAAGTGCCAGAGTGGACATGTAAAGTGCTCAGGCCCAAACCTGAATTGTAAAGAAGAAACCTTTGTGTGAATGAGTCTTTTTTGAAAGTCATTAATCCTCCTCCTTGTATAAAAACATCTTACATTGAAAAGACTATTTTAGCATTTGAAAGAGTTGGAGAAGCATCTCAATGATCCCTAAAATATCTTCTGATTTAAAATGTGCCCTTGTTTGGGGATAAAAAAGGACCCATCAAGCATTGGGTTTTATTGCTTCTTCTCATTGATGTTCTTCTTTTTTCTGTTCAATAGTATGGAGGAGTGTGAGGCACTGTGCACACGCATGGCCATTATGGTTAATGGTTGCTTTAAGTGCCTTGGGAGCATCCAGCATCTTAAAAACCGGTAAGAATCTTCCCTTTTCTTGTTTGTTTTTTTTTTTTTGTTGTTTGTTCAGTTCTTTCTTTGAGTTGAAGCGGCATTAAGGTTCACTACATGTTGTATGCTGCTCCTCCTGTGTAACTCCAAGGCTGGTGAGTCCTGTTATCTTTGATGAAGACATTTTATGTTATTTGCCTACCGTATCTCCGAGTCAGTCCACGTGCCACAGAATTTGACACCACCAGAAGCTAGTAATGCTATCAGTCATTAAACGTTATAAGGACCGTTGGTTCCACTATGAGCACCTATAAAAGACCTACATGGTTATTTTGTCCACCACATGGGCAATAGTGTGACTGCGAAACAATCAGCCAGTTCTCATTGAGGCCATGTCACTTACTGTATGCATCCATCATTCACCATTTTGTTGATTTTTTTATTATTGAAAGGAAAATCTGATAATTGCCATCAAATTCAGTGTTTTTGTTTAAAACACCAATCTCTAGCAAAAGGTAAGTAGTTTCTAATTTAGCAACGCAAAAGCACTTATAAAAATGTGATTGTTGAATATATTTGATCAGTCAACATACACTCAATGTATAGACTCAATTTGCTCGTTGTTTGAATGTCCCCATTGTGCCAAGAAAACTTCTGATTTGAAGCAACTAAAAAGATGCAATAAATGTAGTTCTAACCATAACAGCAACAGTGTTGGCAATACAAACAAAAAAATTGGTTGACTATAAGAAATATAAAGTGGTCCCATGCCATCATAAAGCACCTATATTGTCTCAAAGGTCTATGCATCTTGACTGAGCTTGTTTTTGCTACTGCTGTTTAAAGCTTTTAGTGCCTATCTATAAAATCTAATCTTGCCTTCACACATAGCGTGTACTTTGTACTTCAGCTGCTGCTCATTCTCAGTTTTAGTAAACCTGGTACAAACCTGTATTTTGTTCCATCCTGGGTGTTCCCAGTGGGGAACTATTTGCATGTAGCATTAATTCGTTTGACATTTCCCAAGGCCAGCATTTATACGGCAAGCACCTTCTGCATGAGTCCAATCCATTACCTCAGGTTTGGTCTGGTGACATTATTACCCCCTCCCTTTGTTTGAGCTTGTAACAGGAAGGACATTACACACACACATACACACATTTGTGCATGAGCAAAATTTCTGACAGGATTATGCTGTGGCAATCACTGGGTGGAGAACGGGATCAATACACCTGAGGATGAGGGGGCGGAGCAGACCATTTTTCAGGTTGTGTGAGGGATTAGGGGAAACACGTGGAGCAGCAAGGTGGAGACGACGGTGTCAAGGATATTTCCTATCAAGATTCTTAATGTCATGTGAATAACTGGAGGTTTAGATCACCATAAAGAGAGAGAGAAAACAGCGCTGTAGATGGTGCTATTTAAAGATGGGCAGAGTTGAGGTGAAGGACTAAAGTAGGAGGGTGATGTACTAATCAGTCCCTCCCAGATGTTGGGGGTAATGGGCAGACTCTCCGTGTCAATTACATCCTGAATGTAGGGGCAAGAGCGGGGTGTTGTAAATAATTTATGAAGTATGCAGGAGTTATCAGACAGCCAAAGAGCAGCAAACAAGGGAGGCTGAACACGTGTCCTACTTCACTCTGTGCTAAAAAAGGAATTTCACTTCACAAGACGAGCAAGCGAGAAGAAACCAGATAAGAACGACATCTACACAGATTTCTTTTCTCTCTCTCTCTCTCTCTCTCTCTCTTCATTTTTTTGCGTTGCTTGGTTTTGAGATCTCGGACGAACAATTTACACGTCGCGGAAATACTATCGCTCAGTTCTCGCCGCGCGGTGAATAATTTCTAATTAAGCTCCCCTATCTCTGCGGAGGCTCTGTGTAATTAATGTTTCATGAGGTGTGGAACCCTGTTAATGACTGAAAAGGCAATTAAGGAGTGTCTTCTCTGTTTTCTTTTCTTGTCACTATCTTGCCACATGTTTGTGCTGCTGTGCACCCCTCCCTTCACTCACACACTCTTAATGCTATATTACAGGCCAAATGGAAGAATGCACATCATCCGCTGACTTTCGTATTAAAGGTTTAAACTAGGATCCACTAATGTTGAGATATGATGAATTTCTTTCATTTTGGGTCACATCTTGAAAATAACATCATGAACAATCTGTTTCTCAATGTGTTGTGGATGACTCTCAGATACATAAAATTTGATCTTAAAAATCTGTAAAACTGACTGAGTTATTAGCGTTATTTGTGTTTTATAATGCCAGTTAGATGTGGTAGATATCTTGGAATCAGTTCATCCATCCATCCATCCATTATCTTTACCCGCTTATTCTATTTTGGGTCACGGGGGTCGCTGGTGCCCATGTCCAGCAATCACTGTGCGAGGGGCGGGGTACACCCTGGACGGGTCGCAATTCCATCACAGGGCCACACAGAGACAAACGAGACAAACAACCATTCACTCTCTCACTCACACCTAGGGACAATTTAGAGTTACCAGTCAGCCTAACATGAATGTTTTTGGTGTGTGGGAGGAAACCGGAGTACCCGGAGAAAACCCACGCATGCACAGAGAGAACATGCAAACTCCACCCAGAAGGCCCCTGGACCGGGGTTTGAACCAAGGACCTGCTCGCTGAGAGGCAGCAGCTCTACCAGTTACGCCACCGTGCTGCCTTGGAATCAGTTCAGTTCACTCAATTCAGTTCAAATCAGTTTTTTTCTATAGCTCCAAGTCACAACAGAAGTTGTCTCAGGGCACTGAACAAAAATATTTGCACACATTAACAAAAAAGCCAATTAATAAAGTTCTCTAAGGAAGCCAGCAGATTGCTTTGAATCTTCACTTCGTCACAGTCTCCCATCTTGAGCAAGCACAAAGGCAACAGTGGAAAGGAAAAACTCACTTTTAACAGGAAGAAACCTCTAGCAGAACAAGCCATCTTCTTTGACCGGCTGGGTTTGAGAGGACAGGAAGGAGAAACAGACGAACACAGAATGACAGGTCCAAGTGTACTTTCTATTGGAGGAAAGACAAAAAACACATGTTCATAGAAATAATTACAAATATAAACAGGTAGAGTAGAGCAAGTAAAGACAACAGCAGAGTGAGGAACTGGAAGTTGTTTCCAAGAAGAGACTGATAACTGAAAAGTCTGCTTCCCATTCTGCTTTTGGAAACTCTAGGAACCACAAGTAAACGTGCAGTCTGAGAGCAAGGTGCTCTGTTAGGAAAATATGGAACAATAAGATCTGTAATATAATTTAAGGCCCTGTCACGCTATAAGATTTTAGACAACTTATGTCGATGTGAAATTTCTGTCCAATGTGCAGTACATTGAAAATGAAAAAATCCAGTGGAAGCCTCTTTAGGACATATACTTACCAACAAGTTGAATTAATAGATAACCTATGTTTATCGTATAAGTAACTTACCCATAACTTATAGAAGCAGATGATAGTGTTTTTTGGCTCTCCTTCACTACTGTCTGCCCCCTTGTTCTGTCTCTCCCCCCTACATATGCCACTTGCACACCTAACCCTGCCGTCCTCTTTGTAACCTGGGACATTAATCCTTTAAGGGTCAGATGTTACAATATATTGTGCAAACATCTATTAAAAGTTATAAATATGTTAGAAATAAGTTGCTCAAAGGTTAGAAAATAGTTACTTATATGCTACACAATTGCCCCGATTCTTACAGACGTATGTCAACTTATGAGTAACTTGCATGTAACATGTGTGAACTTATGCATAACAATAGCAACACATCGGTATACGCTGAATTTTTTTGTGCTTGCACAAAGGTTTTGGCTGGCACCAACATACGTCAACTTATGGCATTGAATATCAGCTTCCTGATAATTTATTCAAAACGTACTCCAAACTTATACAACTTGTATCAGTATGTTTGTAATTCTTTTCATATGTCAGCTGACACTGAGGCTATAAGTCGTTGTCTGACAGGGCCTTTAGTCAGCTGTAGATCCAAATTCAAGGATTACTTTCTGAGAATTTCATCAAAATACTTCCAGTTGTTCATGAGATATGTTGCAAATGCATACATGGGCAAAACCATCATCAACCATCTTTTGCCTCTTGGCAGCTGGTGATAAAAGTACCTTTCAAGTATGTACATCTCAGTGTCCTCAGTTTAATGTGAAAGCAAAGGAGCTTATTTTCACAAATGCACAAGCTGGAGCCCGTTTGCAGATGGCAGGACTTCGATCAGACAGCAGGGGAGGCATTGCGACAGAGGCAGGTGGTGAACGGCGTTGTTTCGCGGCGGGGGCACTTGACCTGCAACACAGGGGGTATTGCTTCGTCCTCTTGCTCCCACACTCCTTCAATGCTTTTTCATCAAAAGCACCTGAAATGGGTGCAGATTCTCGCCGTGGGGGCTGACTCTCACATTTTGACCCCCCCATTGCTTACACGTAATACATGGTTATACTCAAACCTTCTCAAACCTTCACTCTTCAGATACTTTTATTACCTTTATCTGTCCCTTCTGTACTTCCAAGTATTTTGATTACTGAAGCCCTTGTTAGTGCTGCCCCATTTAGTTCACTGTTGACTGTGTTTATCACCAGAATGTCCTTCTGCTGCTTTCAAAGCCCCACATTTCTGCATCAGTCGGGTGCAAAAAGGAACAAATATAGCTCGTTTTCACCAAAAACAGAGGTGGGGTGATCATCATACCAAGATTGGTTTAAGAACAGTTCTTTTGGGGAAATAAAGCAGCCATTTTAAGAAACCACTTCTTTATCATCTTCCATTGCTGTTAAAAATAAATTAATCTCTTCGTCTTGAGCCCCTTAAAACGTTCACATTTCTAGGAATTTATGAAAGGGATTGAGGAGAGAAATATATATATATATATAAGTGAAAGCTGTACAGGAGGCTGTAAATAGCTTTTTAGTATAGCAGTGTCCTCATATGAAAGCTCCCAGGTGTTAAGTAAACCCAAATGAAGTGGAGGAACCTATAAAAGCAGCTTCAAAGCTTCCCTATA